TTTTACTTAGTTCATGTTGTAGCCGCCATCATTGATCAGGAATCTGCGGAGAAGAAAAAAGTAAAATAATAAATGGGTTTTGATTGTTTGTTAGTTTTGTTGTTGTTGTTTTTTTGTTTTGGTAAGTGTTTTATGGTACTCTCAACTGCCTAAGGTCATATGAGCGCGCGGGACACATTAAACATTAACAGTTTGGTCGGTAGGGAATTTTGAATTTTGCCCGGGTGGCGGCCGAAGCTTACTCTTATCAATTTTGGACCACCAAAGAACCTTTAACATGCACAACTTGCACACTGGACCTCCGAGATTTTTCGACTATGTCCGAGAAGGCTTGGAGTAGATCTTTTCTACCAGAAGATCAGGGGTGTGGCAGAAAGACAGCAGTTAGGAGGAGCCAAGGAGTAGCAGAAGAAAGACAGCAGAAACAGTCAGGAGCCCAGAGGAAGGGGCAAGGGAGGTGAGGGGGTGGGGGCAGAAAGTGGAGACGAGAGCAGATGACAGATCAGCCATCTCCGCATACACACCACCATCCAATGATGTGAAGTCAAGGTTATCTTCAACAGCGAAGGACAAACGTCATAAAGTGCATACTTAATATGACATGTAACTGTTACAGATAGGGATTCAAGGGATATAGATGTTAGTCAATGATCTTAGAGCAGTGATGATTTTAGAAATAATGGTGGTGATGTGTGATGATGAGGGATTGTATTTGTTTTTTAAAATGTTTTAGCAAGGTTTTTACGGCGCTCGCAACTGCATAAGGACATCATATGAGTGCCAAGGGGTGGATGTCAACGGAGAAGTCTAAACGGGGAATCAGGCTTACTCTGTTCACCTCTCTAGCCTTAACAACACAAAGTCTTCTTCGACTATCAAGGCACCCCGGAAATAGTAGTTCACAAGAGACTGACAAACATGCAAAAGAAGTAGAGAGAAAATGACGATAGTAAGGATGAGGAAAGAAAACGCAGCAGTTTCTCCCTATGTTGTTCCGGCACAGTATGAACATGACGATGATAAATTAGCCCATTTACAATTTTACTGCGCATAAGAATATGTTGATATCCCCGGTTTGGGATTGCGATTAAAATGTGTTTGGATTGTTCTTCTGTTTACTGATACATTTCTCGGGATGCACAGCTTGATAGAGAGCTCTCTATGATGGATGACGTGTGTCATGTGTCTGTCGATGTCATCAGTAGAGCGGCAGATGCTGGGACGAAGGTCTGTGGGAACTGATGTGCTGGGGGGTGTTAGAGGGATGTTATAGTGTTGTCTATACGAGAGAGAGAGAGAGAGAGAGAGAGAGGCAGAGAGTGGGAGGAAGGAGGGAGAGAGGAGGAGAGATTATACACAGAGAGAGAAATAAAACAAAGAACAGCAACAAAAATTCGATAAAAATTGCCAAACTGTGGGAAAATGCCTGTTTCTTTTATTTCATCATTTTGACCAGCGCCTGATTTCACCACGATGCCTCACAATCTTAACTTTAAAAAAATGTCAGTGTATTACTGAGAACACTGAAGGCGTGTTAACGTTGGAAAATGTTCCTTATTAATATTATGATATGCACAGTTGTAGCAGCCTGCACATTATTGTGAAAGTAATATCTTTAAAAAAATCAATAAACCTGCATTTTCTTTTTCATTTACCTTGTATACACACTGCCCCTCCCCCTTCTCCCTGCGTTTTTACCGCTCCACACTCACTCACTCACTCACTCACTCACTCACTCACTCACTCACTCACTCACTCAC